GGAGAACGATGGGGCTACTTATTACAGCAACAGCAGCTTTAACTACACACTTTTTGTTTGTGCAGCCCGGCACATATGGTCCCCTATGAGAAATGCAGCAGTGCTTGAGTGTGCTATGTACCACTGCAAACATAGTTATTTCACCCATGTGGGCTGCATCTGTGGCTACAGTGTGGATAAATGTTATGTTCATTATGTGTATGACAGAAGTATGATTTACTGGTGAAGAGTGGGTCTGCAGTATTGCCCCTGCAGCAGGGCTGAGATGGGAACACTGTGCAGGGATACTCTGGCCCAGGGCTGCAGGAGGCTCGTTTGGGCCTGGCTTTGAGGATTTACTTATTAAGCATAAGCTTTCAACAGTAAACGTAAGTGGTTTTTATCATTTGATCCACATTGCTTACTAAAAAGGGCTGTTTCCTTAGATTCCCCAGATTGTCTCGGTCCCCAGTATGTTTTTCCCACGAGTTCATACTCAACAAAGTATGCGCTTTAATGACTTACGTACCAAGAAGCTTACCGTAGAAACTTGCTACCTGCTGGCAGCAGAAGCAGTGTAGAACTGTGCTGCCTCAAAAGGTAGAACAAGGGCAGATTTGTGGCTCAGAGGGACAGAGCTACAGAAGAACAACAAGCTCTTGCTGTAGCTTACGCTCCTGACTTCACACAGCATCAGCTCTGCAGTTCCTGCTGTAAAGATAGCTGCTCAAAAGCTTCCTTGCACGAGCACATGGGCAGGGCCTCCCAATATCTCCTACCCACTCTATTAGATTAATAGTAAAGTTATCTAATGTTGTAAAGTTTTGTTGTTGTTTTTTTTTTTAAACAAAACAAAAACTTAAAATAGAGTAATTTTTCTTTACATGTGCTCTCATGGACCAAGTTCCCAGGTTGTCCATGAGCCTCTCCTCGTTTCTCAGGAAGACTACCTTATAAAAATTGGCAGTAAGTAGTTCGAAGTCAGTAACAGGATAGAACATCCTAGTACAGGCTCCAGGAACCATTGAAGAAGGAGCTCTGCACCGGTACACTTGAAGGCAGCTGGCCGTGAGATGCCCACTGCCCCAAATGAACTTTGTGCAGGAGTCCCGGGTGGGGTAGGTGAGGGTTCAAGTTAATGATGATTCCCACGTGCTCTGTGGAAGGAAACTCTCTTTGTTCTTGGGGGGGTACATGGCTAACAGCACAGTTTGTGTCTTTGCTGACAGCTTTACCAGAAAGTCCAAGGCTTGAATGGGACAGGGACTTGAACTGCTGCTTTGATCCCGCTCAGTGCCGTGGCACATCTGCTGGGAAGCTTTTGCTGCTGATGGCCCGCACTGTTAGTTGGAGCAGCAGTGGTGTGCACCAGAATGCACAACTGCAAGAGGTGCTTTCAACCGTCACACACCTGCGAGAGGTGAAATGTAACTTGTTCCACAAGCAGTAAGCTGCAGAAGCACATGGTAGCAGCTTGTTTAGGAGATCGGCAAAACGTGTAATGAAAGATGTGAACACACATTAGAAAAGAGCACTTGACTGCCAAGATTGGTTATATTTGCCCATGTATGTTCACATGGACAGTGAGCTACCTCTCCCCTAACAGATTTGCTTTTCAGGTCTTGCTCTGCACATTTACATGGTTTGTTGTTTGGTGGTTTTTTTTTTGCTTGCCACCCCTGCCCCGACAAACAGATTGCAAATCAATTGCCCTCCACAGCTGGGGACATTTTTGAGTACACAGTTGCTTTTAATGTTTAATTAGGTATGATAACAGGATAAAATGTTCTTGGCACAGCAGAGTGCCTACAGCTCGAACTTGCAACATATTTGTCTCCTCACAGGGTACTCAGCACCTAGCAGCGTAAAGACACCGCTCAGGTACCTATTGTTAGGGCTTTGTCAGCCTTTCTGCCATCAACACAAATGATCGTCAGGGATTTTCAGCTTAGTTGCAAAAAAATTAACTGTGAGCTACGGTTTAGTATCGGGGGTCTCAGTTGAGTAGCCATTTCGGAGGTGGTGTTTTCTGACCGCCTTTTTCATGTGTATACAGATGTAAACGGCAAGCAGTGCTGGGTCTTGTTTGTTACTGGATCAACAGATGAAGCTCTTGCAAAGTTACACGGACAGTAGCATGCTTTTTTAAACTCGTGTCAATTCACAGATTGCTTTAGGCCATAATATGTTTATCATATGTCTTAGTACTACCTTTTTTTTTTTAAAGACTAAACAAATAACTGCAAATAATTATCAGCTGCCATGCTAAAGCACAGGTCCTTTCAGCCGAGTCACCTGGCCGGTTCTGGGGCTTTTGCACAGGTGTGAGACATTTGCAGCAGCAGGGCTGATCCCGTAACCCCCGGCCACTACAGGCACCACCGAAATGTCGGTTATTTTACTTGGCGCTCCCGGCCGCAGCCCCGGCAGGAAGGCGGGCGAGAGCTGCCCGCTTCCCGCGGCGGGGCGAGGCCGCGGGGCCCGCCCGGGAGGTCCAGTCAGGGGGGGGGGCGGCC